GAAAATATTTTAGAGGTCCCAACAACTTCACTTTAAACTCTCTGCTCAATGACTTCTTCACCTGTTCAATATCAGTTGGTGCATCACCACCCACAATAATGTCATCTACATATACCAACACTATCACAATCCTTCCTCTGATCCATTTAGTGAACATAGAATGATCTGAGTTTGATTGTGAAAAACCACTCTTCAAAAGGAATCCAGTAAGCTTGGCAAACCATTGCCTAGAAGCTTGCTTCAACCCATACAAAGATTTCTTCAACCTGCAAGCAATTTGTCCTTCTTTTCCCTGCAAAGCAGCTGGTATTTCAATGCCCTCAGGAACCTTCATATAAACCTCTTCTTCTAGGTCTCCTTGTAAGAAAGCATTAGAAACATCCATTTGATCTAGAGTCCAATTCTTAACTGCTGCTATTGCTAACAAAGCTTTTACTGTGTTTATTTTAGCAACAGGAGAATATGTATCCAAGAAGTCTATTCCATACACCTGTGTATAACCTTTAGCCACCAATCTGGCTTTATACCTTTCCACAGTTCCATCTGGTTTCAGTTTTATCTTGAAAACCCATTTATAACCTATCATCCTCTTTCCTGCAGGTAACAACACTATCTCCCATGTTTGATTTTCATCCAAAGCTCCTATTTCAGCTTCCACTGCTCTTTTCCACTCAATAAACTTCACTGCTTCTGCATAAGATCTTGGTTCCATCTGTGCCAAAACACTCAATGCATACTTCCTGTCAACTTGATTAAGTTGATCCACATGTAAACAGATTGGGTATCTGCTTACATTTGCCACAGAACCAAAACCACCAAAAGTCAACCTGGGATCAAGTTCACAATCAGTATACTTAGCTGGAAGCTGATGCTGTCTAGGTGGCCTGCCAATTGGTTCCTCATAGTCTGCTTGAGGTTCCAATTCAGGATCATGTTCACCATAAGAAGCAGAAGAAAAATCACCATGTACTGGAGATTCTGTGATGTTTTCAACTGAAGTTTCAACTGAAGAAGGAAGGTCAACTGTTTCAGAGGGCTGCCCCCCATCATCAGAGGGTGTAGGAAAAGTAGGATGTATGTCTGGTGAGGAAGAAGGTACTTGAATTGGTGGAGAAGGTGTAACAGGTGTATGTGATGGAAAGACTATTGGAGATTCTGTAGAGGGTTCTGAGGAGTCATGCCTAAAGGGTAGTATAGTTTCATGAAACACTACATCCCTAGAGACAAAGACTCTACGATCTTGTAGATCTAAGAGCTTGTAGCCCTTAATGCCTGGTGGTATGCCTAAGAATATACACTGTCGAGCTCTTGCATTAAACTTTGTCCTAGCATGACTCAGTGTACTGGCATAGCAAAGGCTACCAAAAACTTTCAAATGTCCAAGAAAAGGAGGTTTACTGTATAAGATTTCATAAGGAGATCGATTTTGCAATACTGGAGTAGGTAGTCTGTTAATGATGTAGACTGAGTGAAGCACACAGTCACTCCAGAATTTCAGTGGGATCCCTGATTGAAATCTTAATGAACGAGCAACATTTAGTATATGTTGATGTTTCCTCTCCACCCTAGCATTCTGTTGTGGGGTTTCCACACAAGACATTTGATGCTCAATGCCATTTTCCATATAAAACTCACACATGTTAAACTCCTGGCCCTGATCACTTCTTACTACCTTGACTGTCTTCCCAAATTGGTTTTTAACCAGTTGACAAAACCCTTTAAGTAACTCCCTGGTTTCACCTTTGTGTTTCATTAAAAACACCCAAACTGCTCTAGAGTAATCATCCACAACAGTAAGAAAGTAAGCATAACCATCATAGGAGAGAACAGACAAAGGGCCCCAAATGTCAACATGTATCAGTTGGAACAAATCACTTGCAGTACTAGTGCTAACAGGGAATGGAAGGCGTTTGTGTTTAGAAAAATGGCAAACATCACAATGGGAAACTTTAGAACTAGTTACAGTGGAATCAGTTTGCTGTAACAAAGAAATCCTATCACTACTAGAGTGGCCTAGTCTCCAATGCCAGAGGTCAAACTGGTGAGCATTGAAGTTGAAGGTGGTGGCTGCTTGAGGAAGTGTAGGTGGTTGCATTTGGTCTTGAGTTGGTTGGAAAGAAAGCTGGTACAGACCTCTAGACTCTTTGGCTAAACCAATCTTCCTCTTGCTTAGAAGGTCCTGGATATAACATGAATCAGAATGAAAGTGTAAGGCTAGAGGAGAATCTCTGGTGAGCTTACTAACTGAAACCAGATTGAAAGAAAAGCTGGGAACTAGAAGGACATTGTACAAGTACATTCCAGATGGTAACTTCACTGTTCCTATATGTGTAACTAGAACCTTGGTTGTATTAGGGAGATACACATAAGTATTGACAACTGGTTGATACTCAGTGAACAAAGCCAAGGAACAAGATATATGATCTGAAGCTCCTGTATCTAGAATCCAGAAATGCACTATGTTGGTATTGGTAAGGGTGTTATGAGTGGAAAGCACATAATTACCTGAGTAATTTGGGAAAGGTGGAAGGTATTGAGATACTGAATAAGCATTGTGGTGAATAGAAGGTGATGGTGGAGGTGAATTGGCTATGTTAGTACTAGACTGCATCATGAACCTTAGCCTATTCATCTCCTCAGGTGTAAAACCTACCACTGACTTAGCAGTACTCACAGGACTCCCATCTGATGTGTCTCCAGTCACACTTCCTTCTCCTTGTGACTCACCTGAACTTCCCTGTGATACAGAACCAGCAAATCTACTTGGTCCACGACCTTGTGTGTTACCTGCATTGTTACCATTCCTCTGTTCCTTGTCTTTCCTCTTCTTGGTCCAGCATTCATCAATGTTATGACCAGTTCTCTTACAGAACTCACAATACTTCTTGCCTTGCTGCTTCTGCCCTGCATCCTGATCTGAATTGACAGCTAAAGCCACACTTTGAGATCTCTTACTGCTACCCCCTGCTTCTCCTTTCAACTTCTGTTCGTGCTGCAACAGGTCATCCACAGCCTCAGATACACTTGGGAGAGGTTTTTGCATCAAGATTTGAGTCTTGACCACTTCATAATCTGGGTTCAAACCTCTAAGAAACCGGATTAAGTAATCTGTCTCTTGCCTTTCTGTGTATGCTGTCACTGCTGCACAAGGATTAGGATTTCCAGGTGCACAGTTACATGGAACAATTGGGCTAAATTGCATATACTCCTCCCAATAGCCTTTCATCTGAGTGTAGTACTGATTTATGGTAGAATTCCCCTGTTTGCAAGCTTGGATCTCATCTTCTAGGTTGATGATTTTGATAGCATTTGGTTTACCAAACCTTCTTTTCAATTCATCCCACAGAACCTTAGCATTGACATGATTCATGACAGATCTTCGCAGATCTTTGTGTAAAGAGTTCAGAATCCATGACAACACTGCTGTATTACAAGCATCCCACAGCAAATAACGATCATCTGCAGGTGGAGGCATCGGAATGCTTCCATCCACAAAACCCAGTTTGTGTTTCATCTTAAGACCCATAATTACTGACCTACTCCACATAGTGTAGTTCGTCCCATCAAATAGCTCAGATCCGATAGATTGATTGAGCGCTTCGTTTGGGTTCAGGTAGAATGGGTTTCCAAAAGTGATTACCTCGGTTCGTTGTTCTTGCTGTTGAGCATCAAATGAGCCAAACTGAAATCGAGCACCAGATCCTGTTGCTGCAGCATCGGACCGTGGCGTTCCCGACGGCGGTGTCTGTGCTCCGGACATTTTGCGGCCTTAGATCGTTCGCCGCTCTGATACCATGTGAATTTTGTATGAGGGTTTTAGAAATGCAGTACCCTTATCGAAGAAGGGCTGCAGGAGGTTGTATATATACCTCTGTTTACAAACCAATAACAGTGTTTTGCCACATGTCAGAGAGACATTGGCTATTACAAAACAGTCTTACTGTTAATTAACGGCTAGTACAGCATTAAATAAAACGACAGCGTGTTTTACTTCTTCTTCCTTTCTTTCTTCAATCCGACATCGTTTCCTCCTTTCTTCATAGCTGCTGCGAATCCTTCTTGGTCTCGGATTCTTCATCTGCTACTCCTTCTCACTTCTTCTTCAGTCAACAGGTGTCACGTAAGAAAGAAGGCATGAGCAAAGGCAACGAGCGCAAACATCGCAAGCGGTGAGCGTCGTGGGTGGTGTGCACCGTGAGCGACGAGCGGCAAGTACTTGCGAGCATCGTAGGCAGTGAGCGTCGGGGACAATAAGCACCGTGATGTAAAGTAAAAAATATTTGAGATCGAGTTTGTCTTCAAAGGGTGGCGATTGATAGCAAATTTTTGGCAAAAATCAGCAAAGTAGATTCACCTGCCCAAGTTGTAAACAAACAATATGGTCAAATGCATGGAATCATTCCCGGAATCAACCTTTTTCCCATTCAACAGCTTCAGGCTTGTCCCTGACCACAAAAAGAAATTGTAACCATCAGTCAGAAGTTAGTAACCGCTGCTTGTGAGTGAGTTTTTAACTTTTAATTAATTCAACATAGCAACGACACCGCCACTCCTTTGGCGTGTCCGCAATGGGAAGGGAGAGAGAGTAATCAAAATTCAAAAAAACTGGGCCGTGTAGTTTTCGTTGTCTTTGTCTGCCTTCCTTTCTTCTGGCGGAATTGCGAGGGAGACCCTTTTAAGTTCAACTACTTAAGGCCAGCGGCAGTTACCTTTAAGAAACCAAATTCCCCTTTCTCTCTCTCCCCCTCATTCCCTCGTTTCAACAAATCACACTTCCTACCCCCTCCTGTTTCTCCGGATTCCGTTCCACAACAGCGCCCTTCCTAAATTCACTCGCAACCCCCAATCGGAATCCTCGCACGCCGTCTCGGCGGCCGGGAATTCCGAAATTCCCCTCTTCCCCTCCAACCCACAGTCTTTCCCGCCGGAATCCTCGTGGCTCCTTCCACAGCTCACGAGTTCGACGAGGAGCAGGAGACGGTTCCGCAATTGATGACCGGATGACGACGGCGGCAGAGGAAGAGTACGGAGCCGGCCAGGAGGCGGAATCGCCGTACCTGTTCGGGAAATACGAGGTCGGGAAGCTGCTGGGATGCGGGGCGTTCGCCAAAGTGTACCACGGCAGGAACGTGGCGACGGGGCAGAGCGTGGCCATCAAGGCCGTCAGCAAGCGCAAGGTCCAGAAGGGTGGGCTCGCGGCGCACGTTAAGCGGGAGATCTCTATCATGCGCCGCCTGCGCCACCCCAACGTCGTGCGCCTCTTCGAGGTCCTCGCCACAAAATCCAAGATCTACTTCGTGATGGAGTACGCCAAGGGCGGCGAGCTCTTCTCCAAGGTCGCCAAGGGCCGCTTCTCCGAGGACCTCAGCCGCAAGTACTTCCAGCAATTGGTCACCTCCGTCGGCTACTGCCACGCCAGGGGAGTCTTCCACCGCGACCTCAAGCCGGAGAACCTCCTCCTCGACGAGAATTGGGACCTCAAGGTCTCCGACTTCGGCCTCAGCGCCGTCCAGAATCAAATCGGCTCCGACGGCCTGCTCCACACCTTGTGCGGGACCCCTGCCTACGTCGCCCCCGAGATTCTCGCAAAGAAGGGCTACGACGGCGCCAAGGTCGACATCTGGTCGTGCGGTGTCATCTTGTTCGTCCTCGTCGCCGGCTACCTCCCTTTCAACGACACCAACCTCATGGCCATGTACAAGAAGATTTACAAGGGACAGTTCCGCTGCCCCAAATGGACCTCGCCGGACCTCCGCCGCTTCCTCTTCCGCCTCCTCGACGCCAATCCCGAGACGAGAATCACCGTCGACGAAATCCAGCACGACCCCTGGTTCAGAAAAGATTACAAGGAGGCGAATTACTACCAGGTGGTGGAGGGTTTTGATTTGAAGAAAGAGGACGGCGGCGAGCGGAGCCTGAACGCGTTCGACCTGATCTCGTTCTCCTCTGGCTTTGACCTCTCCCGCCTGTTCAACGAGTCCGGCGACGACACGTCCACCTGCGGCGAGCAGTTCGTGTCGGTGGAAACGCCAGAGAGAATCATGGAGAGAGTGGAAGAGGTAGCTAAAGAGGAGAGTGTGACGGTGACGGAGAGGAGGAAGTCGGGGCTGAAATTGGAAGGGCGGAATGGGAATTTCGTCATGTTGCTCGAAATTTACCGCTTGACTGAGGAGCTGGTGGTGTTTGAAGTGAGGGAGAAGGAGTTAAACGTGGTGTCCGGTCAGGAGATCTGGAAGTACAGGCTAAAGCCGCAGCTCCGCCGGTTGGTATACCAGGCCGGAAGCGCCGTCTCCGGTGCTTGACAGGAAAAGGAATTGTGACCAATGTGGTGGATTAAAAATGTGGAATCTGGCATCAAAATTACAGGCTAATTTGGGGATTATTAATGCCCATTTCTGTCCCGGGTTGTGTAAATGATTTTTGCCCGGCGAACAAGTTAATTATTATAGTTATGGGAATTGGAATACCAATTCATGATCATGACTAATTATCTATCTATCTGCGTCCTGTATCAGATCTCCCTGTTTGTCTTCTATACTATTCTATGATATATCACAAGAGAAGAGAAGAGGTCTCCGCGGTACAATCAAGTGGTACTTTGGCATTTAATTTGCTGGTTTCGGTGTAGTTTCATGTTCCTTGCATTGGGTCTCTTTTTGGTTGTGCAGCGAGCGCAAAGGGAAAATCAACCAATTCCTTTGTCGTCGCATCACACTGTGTGAAACTGAAATGGGCAACCCGTTGCCATTTTCCCGTGCATTTCTTGTCAAAGTATAGAAAGGGAGGGTAGGCACTTTCTCACTTTGCATCTAACCTGTTTGATAGATTGCCTAAACGGGAAGAACAACAACCTAGGTTAGTCGCTTGTCAAAAATAACTGCTCCCAGATCGAGTCCTGACTTGAGATAAGCAAATTCTTCCTGGAACAGGAACGTCATGTGTGTGTTAATACTTTAAAATCCCAAGCTTCCTCTAATTAGTTGATGTGTAGGATTACTAGCCGAATTTGGCTATGGTGCATGCATCTATCCATTCACAAGGCTGTGGGTTGTTGAATGCAAAGGCCTAATTTAAAGTCGAATTATCTGCCGTCAATTGAAAGTCTCAAAATACGAGCTTATGCATATTTGTTCTTTCCTCCCAAGATGGAATTAGGATTACGCATGTTCGGAGATTGTGTTATATATATATACATTCTCATTCATTATAATATTTTTCGTTTCCTTCTAAAACTAAGGTAACCACATGCTTAAGACAACCTTAAGAACATGGAAATTGAGTTGGGATAAAAACTAAAATTCGATTGGAGAACACAACCTTTGTCATTTCAGATATACATATATGCACAGTAAACAACCACACATGCATAATCGATAATACGCAATATGTAAGGGAATTGATAAAGGTTGTCCTTAAAATTACTATTGATCGTCCTAAAAAATAACAAAGTTACACTTTTAACCTTTTGGCATTTTTAGCAAACAAACATCACTTTAACTAAAAAAATGAAAAACACTCAATTTCCCACACTCTCGAATTCATCGTTGACATTCTCGAGTCGTAATCGTTGAGAATACGTCCGAATCATGAGTAGCGACTCCGACGAGGTAAAAATCTGATTTTTTTTCAAAAAAAATTCCAAAACCCCTCAACCGAAGCCAATTTTCGGTTGTACCATGGCTCAACCTAAGGCAATTTTCAGTTGTACCATGGACCAACCGAAAATTGGCTTCGGTTGAGCCATGGTGCAACCGAAGGTGATTTTCGGTTGAGCCATGGTGCAACCGAAGGTGATTTTCGGTTGAGCCATGGTGCAAACGAAGGTGATTTTCGGTTGGTCCATGGTACAACCGAAAATTGCCTTAGGTTGAGCCATGGTACAACCGAAAATTGGCTTCGGTTGAGGGTTTTTGGGTTTTTTTGGATTTGTTTGATTTATATCAATAATTTTCTATTCTTTTACTACGATTTATGATTCGGTCCATAAGATAATTTGTTGAATTTTGGTTTATATATTTTTTTAGATTTATGGAAGGAGGAGGAGTTTTGTTTGTTTTGTGTTTGATTTTGAAATTCAAAATGGGCAATTTGGTAAATTACATATTAAGTTAGGACGATGGTTAGTAATTTTTAGGACGATCTTTAACCATTCAGATATGTAATCTAACAAGATGGACGCATGTATACCCACCACATTTCACCACCGGAGTTGAAGCACCCATCAAAGAGACGATGAAGGAAGCAGTAATAAGTGCAGAGGAAGGTACGCGGAAGAAGCAGGAGGAGCATGGGAGGGGACCCAAGCCAAGAATGAAAGGAAGGCATGGTTATCACTTATCAAGAGCTGTATGTACTGTATTTGTCCCCTTCGTCCGTAGTACTTATTGCTTGTGTGGTTGTGAGCTGAAGCTGAGAAGAAGACATGTGACCATGTATCCATTATCCACCATCCAAGCTTTGCCCATTCACATGGTGGAACCATAGTACATGAGCGCTTGCCAAAAATTCTTACCAGAAAAGGATCACTCAGTAGCTGTGAATGAACGTGCATCGTACAATATCCAGCAGTGCCGAAGTTGCATTTCCTCAGAACTAATCGAAAACAAAAAACTAAAGTATAATTATTAGTTCCGAGGGACAAATGATGACCGCACATTAACATGGTAATGTTGGTTTCGATTTGATTTAATATAGTATTTTGTTTAATAATGTAGACATTATTTTGATCTTACGTCTTGTTGAAATGATGCTAGTAGACGGAGACAAAACCCGAAAGAAAGCCCACCTAATGGGGCCATTTGATAACTACAATTATTGATAGGTAAGTGCAGGTCATTATCAACCCTCTTTTTTTCTTTTCTTCAGCCGGCTTATAAAATTCAACCCCATCAATCGGAATAAATCAATTGGCCAATAATCCAACAGCGCATATGATACGACGAATATATAGTCGACCTCCCACACCCACAAATGCACCTACTATTTTTTCTATATATTTAAATCCCTACAAATTAAAATTATATTTTTTAGTAAAATATCTTCCTCGTTCATGTGAAATCTTTTTTATTATTCCATTTCCACCGTTGCTGCTTCACACAGCCATTTGCAGGCCACGAACCTTCTGAACCCAGCTTTTTATAGTATAAAATAGTAATCTATGCCTCAAAAACATATAATTGGCTCTTCAGAGGGATTAAAAATCAGCAGCTGTTTAGGCCAGGGGAAGCTGCATGACTTTTTCTTTAATCAGGATGTTAGTTACCACGTTTGGTTGAGTAAACAAATACAGGCTAAAAATGTGATGAAAGTGACTTTGGGGGAGGGGTGGCCAAAACTTAAGAAACAAAGAGTAAGAAAAGATGTAGATTGTCTAATCTTATATTGATGAGGATGTGACTGGTGGCGCCGTGGTTACGTGGCGGTGGTTGGGTTCTGAATATTCAATGAATACTATTAATGATGATGGTAGATTTGGAATCTCCGTTTGGGGTTGGCCAGTGTCCGTCGTCGTCATTGTTGATGAGATGATCAAGCTCCATTAATTATTGTCCTCGTTGTCTGATGCAATTTAAGTTAATTACCCCGCTCCCCAACTCCTTGACTCGGTTAGCAGGCCTGGGCTTGAAGGAAGGGGATCTGAATACAGGGTATTTCCATCGGAAAGCCTCAAAAAGGAGGAGGAAGAATACAATTAGGAGATTACAAGATTAAGCTGGCCACACATTTGTGGGCCAACAAGAGGTAACTAACTGCTTGGTCAGCTACATGAAAGGGTTATTAGCAAAGGGAAGAAGAAGGGAGGTGAGTAGGATCTTACATATGGTTACCCCAGAGTCACCTTAGAAATGAATCAATCCCTTCTGGAACCCTTTACAGAGGAAGAAATAAGGAGGGCCTTAATAAAGACGGGACCCAACAAGGCTCCGAGGTCAGATGGAATGTCGGCTAGGTTCTTTTAGAAACACTGGAATACTGTTAGGACTACTGTCCTGAGTGAATTACGTGGGTATTTGCAGATTGGGGAGTTTCCTATGCAGCTGAACAAGACCCTAATAGCTCTCATACGAAAGAAAAATAAATCTGCCACTCCCTAGGAGTTTAGACCCATAAGTCTCTGCAATGTACTTTACAATATCCTCTCTAAAGTACTAGCAAATAGACTCAAAAGAGTTCTTAACTCAGTCATTGGGGAACAACAAAGCGCGTTTGTTCCTGGGAGGTATATAACATATAATATTTTAGTGGCTTTCGAGTGTTTTCACACTATGAAGAAAAAGACATGAGCAAAAAATGGTTTTATGGCAGCTAAGTTGGATATCTCCAAGGCTTACGACAGGCTGGAGTGGGATTTTCTATAAGCTATGATGGTACAATTAGGTTTTGCTGAAAGATGGGTGAAGATGATCATGCACTGTATCTCTACAGTCTCCTATCAAATTCTAGTTAATGGTCATCGATCAGAGGAATTCAAACCGGAAAGGGGTCTGAGGCAGGGTGACCCCTTGCCACCTTACTTATTCCTTTTCTGTGTGGAGGGTTTATTGACATTGATAATGCGAGCAGTGGAGGGAGGGAAGTTGCATGGTCTGAAAGCCTCAGTTACGGGACCAACTATCTCTCATCTACTATTCGCTGATGATAGCATATTATTTACAACAGCAACGACTCAGGAGAGTAAACAGTAGCAAGAAATCTTACGAGTTTATGAAGAAGAATCGGGTCAGGTGGTCAGTTTACACAATAAGAGCTTAGCTTTAGCCCTAGTGTTAAAAGGAGAGGAGGGATGAGTTATCCGGGATATTGGGTATGTTGGGTATGAAGCAGGTGGAGATTCATCAGAAGTATTTGGGGTTACCCACATTTATTGGAAGATAGAAAAAAGGCTGCTTTCTAGATCTTAGTGGATAGAGTTAGGAAGAAAATCAAACATTGGAAGGGACAAACTCTATCAATAGCAGCAAAGGAGGTTCTTATAAAATCAGTGGCTCAATCTCAGGTAACTTATTCCATGTCAGTCTTTCTGATACCGGACAGTGTGATACAAGAATTGAGAAAGGCCGTTTCTAGATTTTGGTGGGGGTCAATAGAAAGAAGGATTCCTTGGAGGGCATGGCATAAGCTATGTCTCCCAAAAGAGGAAGGGGGCATGGGCTTTAAAGAATTACACACTTTCTACATTGCCCAGCTAGGGAAGCAAGTATGGAACCTAGTGAACAATCCAGAATCCTTGGCAGCTTGGGTGCTGAAAGTTAAGTATTTTTCTAACTCTGATGTCCTACAGGCTAAGCTAGGGAACAATCCT